GCTTTTCGTTTTGAATAAGTAGGGTCCAATATAGCTTTGGTGAGATTTTTGTCCAATTCCATGTTCTCGGGAATACGTTCGTCACTTGCCTTTCTCAGAGATGGGATAAACAGTTCTTTATCGATCCAAGCCACAATATCTTTTGTGCGTTTCTCATCATCAGCTGCAATCTGGGCCAATTCTTGGAACTTTGCACAAAGCATGTCATACCTCCTTTGCTCAACTGTACGGGGCAATCCATCATAAAACTACTCCCGACATTCAAATTGTCATTGCCCTCTAAAATGCCTGCACGTAAAAAATACAACTTTAATCATGCTAACATATTGCACAGACATGTATTGATGGTTAAAGCTACAGTCTGCCACATTGCACAGATATATTTTGCTGGTGCAACACATAACTGAAAAGAGAGGATAACTGCCCAACCTTTACAATCGATGTAGGTTAAACCTACATCCTACCTCATTGCACAGACATAAGTTCTAGGGCAAAACCAAATACAACTAAACCCAAAGAATTATAATCCAACCTGACATTGTCCGTAGGTGATACCTACATATTGCCTTATTGCACTGACATAATTGTTGGTGCTAAACAATTACACCTGAAAGCAGATAATAAATGCCCAAGGATGTCAAACCTACAGCGTATGTCCTTGCACACTCCTAATTGCTGGTCCACAACTAAAAGCATATAAATTCCCAACAACAGCTTTCAATTTAATAAGAATCCTATGTCTAATGTTATGCAGAGAATGTTTCTGAAATTCTTGCTAGTAAATTAACCAAAACCAACACTTCTTTAAAGTCTAAGAATCCAAGGATAAAATGTCTTTTCAATGAACCAACTCTTTCTACCTGTTTATAACTAAACTGTAACATAACAGAAACATATAGTGCTAGTGCAATAATAAAAAATCACCTGCGATAATAAGAGATGTCGGCGTAGCTTCATACATTCTCCCGTAGTGAAACTTCGAATCTGAAATTTTACTTGGAAATACATCGGCCTTGGGACATCGTTCTTCAATTCTCGCACCTTGGTTCTTTGCTCTTCGGGTCGCCTTTCTCCGATGATACTACCTACCCGACGCACTACTTCCCTTTCTCCGATGATGCTAACACGCCGATTCTGGGATTTTTTTCCCGTGCAAAGACTGCGAACAGAGAAGAAAAAAGGGGAAAAGAATGGGTGGGTGAGAAGGAGAGAGGAGAGAGACAAAATAAACGTATGAGGGTGGGATTGGGTGGGATTTAGTGGTATGTAGGGTGGGGGTATATGGGGTAAACCATTGGGGTACAAAGTGGTGTACCCATAGCACGATTGAGAGAGTAAATTAAGCCTTACCCCTTTTGCTGTTTCGCAGTAGTCAAAGACTCAGAAGTAAGAATCCCATCTGTTTCGCACTTTTGGTGCATCGCACAATGACTTGGGAATTGCAGAGATCGCCGATTCTTCCTCACGTTGAAA